AAAACGCACATCCATCGCTCCCACAGATTCCTGACACACCGGGCTTGATAGTTCCACCATATACCATGAGCGAAGGCCTATCAACGCGACCCATGGCAATTATCACGCCTGGCATGTTCTTGTCGCATCCAGGAATGGAGATGTTTGCGTCGTACCACTGGGCACGCATGACGGTTTCAATAGAGTCGGCAATAATCTCACGCGAGTTCAAGGAGTATCCCATGCCCTCCGTTCCCATAGAGATGCCGTCACTCACACCAATGGTGTTGAAGCGAAGGCCAACGAGATTGCGCTTCTCGACACCCTCCTTGATGGCAGCGGATAGCTTGTTGAGGTGCATGTTGCATGGGTTGCCCTCGTACCACACGCTCGAGATCCCGACCTGAATCGGAAAGCCGGTGAGAACCGAAAAAGAGCACCAGCAATACCTGTGGCAGCGACAGCTGTTCATCGGACAGACCGACCGCGTGGACTAAATGTGTGTGCCTGTGGTCAGTGGAAGTGGCAAGGCAGTGGAGGGAAGGAGCACGCACGCATTGCCTGGCTCGCGCCCTGGGCCTTCGGCTGCGTGATGCGCGCGCTGTACTTGTTGGGGACACGGACGCCGTTAGGGGAGCTGCTGCTGCTGGTGCTGCTTGCTCTCGACAGCGGCAGCGGCAGCGCCTGCAGGCGGCGGAATACGGAGCGGTGCAGCATCAAGTTGATTCAGGCGCGTTTGGAATGAATCACAAGTTAAAAACAACGTCAACAAAGTCAAAGCTGATTGTGGTCTTATTCCCCCCCACACGCACGATTACAAAGACAAACATGGCCCATCTCCGTGCCTTCGTTCGTTCGGGTCGTCCGTTATTCACTCAGACTCGGCAGAGCGCACGCGCGCGCCGGCGTTCATCACCTTCACGTCGAGCTGCAGCGCCCTCTTCACAATCGCCACCCTTTTCTTTGCGCTAACAGTGCGCGCAATCTCCGCCGCGTACGACCTGTTGTGCATCAGCAGCAGGTCCAGGTCGCCCACATTGTTCACGATGAACTTCTTGAATCCGTTCGGGAGCATGTGCTTGGTCTTCTTGTTCGATCCGTATCCAATCTTGGGCATCGCAATCTGACCCTTGAATCTTCTACGGACACGGTTGTCGATACCCTTCGGCTTTCTCCATGATGACTTCGAAAACAAAAAAGGGCCAATCGTAAGTCAGAAGCCTCAAACGTAACAAATCACATACGTCCAGCTTCACATATCTGTCGGATTGGTGACGGTTGAACTTGTTGGTTCTCTTCTTGACGATCTTGACCTTGTTAAGTGGAAGAACCATTTTTGCTGCAATGTTCACTTTCAGTATGCTGATTTGCGCCACAATGCATGCGTAATATGCGAGGAATGATTGGATAATGCAGTTAAACTGATTCACAGCATCCGCCCAAGACATGATAGCCGGTTTCGCAGCCAAGAACCCAAACTTCCCGGTTT